TATGTATACACATATATATACATATATATTTTTTTTTTTTAGGTCTTCCAGGAGAGGCCGGAAACCTCGAACATCCCGAAGCTGCTGTTGCAGTTTTATCGGTGAGTGTTTACATTTTGATATATTAATGTCGTAACATAATGCAATTGTGATACGAAGCAAACCGATGTAAAGTGAGAAAGACGAAGTAAAGAAGAATTAAAATATATTACTGTTTAAAGAAATTAGAGTACTATGAAGAAATCGATAAATATTAATGATTTGAAAGTAATAGTATTATATATAGGAATATATATGATTGATCTGAGTAAAGTTGCTCCTTATAAGTTTATAAGTAATTGCCTTTTCATGAATGGCGCTACATATTGCAGAAGAGGGTTAATATACTCTTAAAATATGAAAGTTACAATTAATATACATTCGTAGTATTCTGCTTTCATTAAACAGTCATCATAAAGGGTTCAATCAGAATTTGCATCTGTTTTTGAAACTGCTGATACAATTTTTTTCGAGGGCACTTCCTCTGACGATTGATTGGCAGTAGTAAATAATTCAATGGTCCTGTTCACAAGATTAACAATTCAACAAAAGTTAAATTCGAACATAAAAAATAATCTTCTAATAATTATTTCAACAGAGCACATATAAATGAAATTACCAATCTATTGATATGCAAAGAAACAAATAAAATGTTAAATCTGTTTATGTTAATTTCTTTGATCCTATATTTGAAGTGCATATTGTAATTTAATAATATTATACAATAGCGAGTTAAATAATGACGATTTATAAATTCTATATTTTAAGCTTTATAAAGTGATACACAATGAAAAATATGACAATTGGCTATCAATTTAGACCTTGTTAATTACCGGGCGGTTTTTAAAAATTACTTCAAATCACAAAAGATTTATAATCATATTTTTCAAGTGATTTGAAAGAGAATTTGAAGGAGAGTTCAAAGCAAGCTGTTCGAAAAAAAATTTTTGAATTGTCAACTTTTTGAACTAGATCACCGAATCGATAATTTATTCCTCTTGATTTCGTTTTATACTTTACTTTGGTTTACATCGTATTCCGGAATTGTATCGGTATTTGCGCAAAAAGAAGCGCTATGAACTTTAAGGGAGAAACACAGTGGCATTTGTAACTTTTTGCGAGAAGATTTTAGCGGTCGGGAACAAAACTTCATAATTCCGTCGTCGGATCGAGGATAGAACACGCTAAACTTTTTTTGTCCAAAACCCGCTGTGAACATTAAACTACTATCCATCGAGTAGACATTGTGCGAACAATCCGGAATTCTCTCGGTTTTTCTCGTCTCTATCTTGGAAAGTTACAGCTTGTACGCTTAACTGAGACCTTCTTTTCTGCTTTGCTTTTGCCTCTCTCTTTTTTCCTATGTATATATATATATATATATATACATATATATGTATATGTATTTTTTAAATATTTTTTTGTCTTCTTCACTGCGATCTCGCGCGTCTTTTCTTAAGCCTACGTACGATGAAACTCGCATTTACATACGCTCTACGTTCTGTTGAGCTGGTGTTATTCCTTGTTTATATGTATGTGTATGTGCATGTTACTTGTATTAATCTTTACGCTTCCGCAACGAAGCTCACCCGTGTAACATCTTGTTTTCTTATTTGTAACTGTTCATATAAAGTATATATGTCGCTACGGCCGACACCGTTGTATCGTATTCCTGCAATCCATCTCCGCCAATCGAAATATAAATCGAATCAAAATAAAGTATGTATTAAAGTGCGCGATGAACATTAAGAGTGCTAAAAGCTTCGAATTTTATCCAGTAATATCTAGCATTGTTGTTGCATAAGGAAACAAAATCGCCAAATGAAACGAGTAGAGAACGAGAGAACAAGAACGCGCGAATGTACTTTCGTAGTTTTAAAGTAGAGGATATTTTGTAACTGCAAGAATTTATGAAATAGATATAAGTTTAAGAAAGAGTTATGTAAATGTTTAAAACAATTTATGAATAATTAATAAGTAATTTTTAATGACATTTAAATGATTAGATAAATATATGGAATATTGAGAAAATATAGTTATTTAACAATCGTTAACAAAAATTTTTACTGATAGCATAATTTTGATATAATATAATTTATTAATTAACGTAATAGCCGTTAAAAAGTTATTTAAAGTTTGCGATAAATCGTAAGCATATGAATTCTTTCAAACCAGTTAAATAAAAAATGACATTGCAGTCACAAACTATCTCTACTTTAGAAGATATTTAAACGTATTTATATACGATATATTTAGCCAATGATTTTAATTTGGCAATCAAAACTTCTATTTTTAAATTTTACAGATAAAGAAAGATGTATTGGATTTATTTTGATATTTTGTTTATTATTTTTAATGCATCTAAAATATTTTAACTTTTGCTTATTAAATAATAATTATTCCAACTAAAATCACTTATTTTTTTGATTCAAAAAAGCGATTGTCCGGATAAGGTCAATCGCTTTTTTATATCTTATGCAATATATCTATTTTGAACATTTGTTTTTGAAGATATCACGCTTCTTTTTACGCTGCATCAATCTCTGAGACATAACGAGACAGCTACCATTTTGTTTTGCTTATGGAAATGGGACGTATACAAAATGTAGTGACACACGCGATCGCAGTTTGTTTCACTTCATCTCCCTTTCTCCAGCCTCGATACACTATTTTTTTCAAACAAACCGAGTTTTACGCATCGCGCGAATAATTTAGGAACTTAAGAATACTATGACTTCTGTCAATACGTCTTAGCCTTCATCATCCCGTCGCTGTACGTCTCTTTGTGGTCATGAAAATGTATTGCTAACGTTCGTTAAGAATTGACTCGTTTGCGCGCAATATTACTCTCTTTTCCTGTGTTGCGTGCACGTTCACCCGAAAAAAAAACAAAATGGTTGCCGTTCAACGTGACGCACGTACCAATTTAAAGTTACTTCTATTTTTCTCTTTTTTTTTGTTTACCCTGTTGTTTAATGCAATAATAATAACAGCACGCACATAATAGGTCGCGCGTATAGTCATTTATATAATTATAATTAATCGATCGATGACTCTTCCTTGAATTCAATTATAATAATGATAATGTGCAATAAGGAACCGTTTATTTAGCGATATTAACGAAACACGAATATTTCAGTCGTATAAATTACGCGCATAATTTGTTAAGACGTGGCCTTTGTCGTCAGAAAGAAGGGAGGAACCTCTTCGAAAACTCTTCATCAATATGTTGGAGTTTCTCATACTCATGCATTATGTTTAAATGTATTTCATTTTACCGCAGTATATAATAATTTCAGGCCTTTTTATGCGTGCAACCTTTGTTCTAAATATTGGAAAGTTTCGGTACACTTGAGAGACGATTTATCTACTATCGTTTATTCGTAGAACGCAATGACATTTAGTGTGCTGCAATACGTGGCAAAAAACGCCCGCATAACAGAGACTTAACTATTTGTATCTACGTTGGTTGATAATAATCAAGATTAACATGAAATTTGCTCTCATTGTCAATATTATAGCTATATAGGATTTTAATCTAGAAAGAGATATCAAACTGATAACTCAGAGTTAATTGAGCGAGACTGTTGATGCAGCTTAGCCTACAAGTGTTGGTGATCAACTCGTAGTGTGATATCCATTCATTAAATTTCCATAGAAATGGATCGTTTGGTTTATTCGAAAAAAATAACACTAAAAAATGTCGATCGCTCTCAATCGTCCAGGAAGCTCGTACCTAGGAGAATCAATTCTATTCTCACGCTAATTGAAATTCCTCTCGTCTTTCCGCGCAATATCACAAGGTCACGACAAAGTTAATCTAAATCCCAATCACGAATACTCCATTGGAATCTATCAATCTCTGCTCATTCACACGTCGATTGGACTGCGTTATGCAATCTAGAGTTAAGTGATGTCGTCTGAAAGAAAGAGGAGCGCACGAAGTAACGCGCTCGCTAAGAATTCGCGAAAACGATTCAAAAATGCGACACTTCGACCGAAATGTCGCCTGTTTCTGTATCGTATAACGTAGTCCAATTGAAGCTCGAATTTTGAAAGAAGCCGACCTCTCATTTTTAGTCGAGCAAAATTTTCTGGCCTCTTTTGACATCCAGAATTGTATTACTGGAAGCGCGAATGAACGTAACATCCGATGTCCAGCCATTTTTTTTTGTTTGCGATATATAGATTACAATATAATGTTCACTCTCACGTTTATGTCTTTCTTCGCTAGCCCGTTTAATCCCTAGATCTAATCGCGACGCTATTAGCGACCGCACGTTTTAATCCTAAAGGATGCCCGCTTTCGTACTCTCACGCACGCTTTTTTCGGCTTTCTCTCTTTCTCTCTCTCCCTTTCACTCTCCATCTTTCTCTCCGTATAATTTTAGGTTTTTTGTTTCTTTTTTTTTTCTCTCTCTCAGTTATCTCCTCGTCCACCCTTTAAGTTAGCATTTGAAGCGCACCGTCAATTGATGCTCTGTACATCGCGGACGAAGATTACGCGCGATATCTCTATATGTATATGTATATATTTACTAGCTTTCTTTCTTAGTTCGATCTGTTTCTGATCGTTTGATCTCCTTCTGTATAAATCTTAGGTTTGCACCTACGTTGGTTAACACCGACGCTGGTTAACTAATTTTTTTTTCTGCCTGTCTGTGTTAAGTAGGATTATAATCTAGTGAAGGACAATGAATCTCTACGCTAACCGGAGTTAGTTAATCCAGACTATCGGTGTAACTCAGCCTTAGACGATTAGACGCCGGGGATGTGAAGCGTGTGTCGTAGCTTTCGTCGTGTATGCGCGTGTGCGTGTGTTTTATGTAAAGTGTCTTACAGTTGTTTGCGATTGAAAGAAACTCTCGTGTCTTCTTTCGCTTCCATCGTGTTGGTTTGTCTATAGGGTCATGCATATACGGCATTATTTTAAATCAATAATACAGTAATTCGCATACGCGTAATATATGTATATATGTAATGAGATAATTACTGCATGTAATCGGTTTTAAAGCTATACAGTGGCCGATTCATAACATCCACACACATCGTCTGGCGCTTCCGTAAACGGAAGCTCCGTGCGGAACTTTGAAGCGAGCGTTCAGTGTCAATTAGAATTACGCAGTGGCACAAATCAACGCCATTTATATCCCTAATTTGAAAGCAAGGCCATCGACGTCGCGTTGAGCGACTTTGCCGTAACGTAATTGAATATTACAGTTAATACAACAATAAAGAAATTATTAATGATAGCTTCTAAAATTCTTTCAGTCACCGCGAAACATGTTTATTGCCATAAAACACAGTATTCTTTTATAAAATTTATAATTATAATTATACACAATCGTTATATACATGCATTAAGTAATCGTGTTTATTTATTGGGATATAAACGACGGATTCGTCGACGAAATGCGACTAAAGAACTTTCGCTACTCTGTGATTCTAATGATATTATCTAGTACTATTTTTTTTTTCCCTCCTGAAAGTCTTCCGCTATTGCGCCTCTCATCATCTCTCAACGCTATATTCTTGCATGTTTTTTTTCCCTCCCGCAAGAAATGCTAATAGCGTGACGTCAAATATATAACACGCCTACGTATATAACTCCCTCATTCGCGCGCCATTATATTCTTTTGCTTTGTTAATTCGTTACGCACCCGGGAAAGCAGAACTGCGACAGGATAGGAAAGAAGCACCGTTCCGCCATGTAGCTAGCGAAAAGGCACGTTGGGAGAGAAGAAGGAGCTTGAATTTGCAAGTGGAGGCGCAGAGAAAGAGCAGCAAAAAAGATCCCTTAATTTATCCATTCTAATTTTTCATCAGCCTTTTATCCTTTTCTCTCTTCTCCGCGTCATCGTCCTTCTCGGCCGCGATTAAATTCCTTAAACCTCCTCGCGCTTACGATTAAAACTTGAAAGCTCAAAAACAAAGTCTTTCCCAGGTGTGAACGCGTAATGTGTATGTGCCTATCATTATGTAATATATTTATGCGGGCACGCGCAGTACATGGCGCTCATTAATAATTGCAATCGCCATAGTAATCATGTAATAATTAATAGTTATAATTATTATATTCGTGAGAGTTGGTATCTCTTCCGTCTCTTTATCTGCCTTAAATACTAGAAATCATACGTTATCGTCTAATAATTATCAATTATTTATATATTTATATATATATATATATATGTATATATATATTTATATTTTTATATATATATATACTATTTATATATTCTAGACTTAACCGCTTAAATATTTAGCAATTAATAATATTAATTTAATTTATTATTATTATATTATTATTCTTTTTATTAATGTCGGAGAACGGGCTGGCGTCAATACGCAGTTTCGGCCATAGTTTAGCCTATTGCAGCGCGCGTTATTTCCTCTTCCTGTTTCTGTCTGACAGTCGGTCTTCCTGCCGTTCTTTTTGCGTTTTTTTTTCTTTGTTCTTCTCTGGACGTCTTCCCCGTTGTATTAATTTTCTCCTTTTGCTTCAACAGTATTCATTTTCTTTTCTCTAACTACAGTTGCATCCAACTGCTTGGATTTAATGCTCTAAATTCTTTCTTAATGCGTTATATGTATTATTCGCGTAATATTATATTCCAGTTGTTTACAACCTGAACTTTGAAGTTATATCGAATGGATCTTACTTGATCGTTGTCGTCTGCTCGACTATTATCTGTTTTCGAGCAAATTTTGCTCAAATATATTGCAACTTTCGATCATCATTTGTAATAGACGTGTGTGTGTTTTCTTTTTCGTCCAGAGATCATTCATTGTGTTATAGCTGTCTTAAATCCTCCGTGTTGCTTATTATATCAGGCGACCGTGCTGCGTTCTGCCGTCTCGTCCATCCTGGTGAAAAAAATTAAGGATTCAACAAATTAGGTATTTCTTTCACGGCCAGTTTTAATCGTTCAAGATTCACGTAAAACTTTTCTCAAATGTGTGAAAGATTACTTTTGTCTTTTTTTTTAATATCAAATGAATTGTTTGATATTCGTTTTCCTGCTGTTGTTATTAATATTCTGTTATGTAGAATTGTTTCGTGATAAAAATCGTGACAGATAAATACTGTACAAAAATAGTGAAGTAGGAGAAGAAATGTTGAATATAAAATACTTTTGACAAGTGTCAAGTAAATTTGTTTCAACATAAAGTCTTATTCGACAAAATGCTGTCAATGGCATACATACCTGCTATTAGGTCTTGACAAGGCTCAATGGTAGCCATTAGTGAACGCCGCTGGTATTAGAGGTCCCTGAAACAGGACAAGATACCGGTCTTATCAACCATTCCATGAAAATTATGATGGTTACACAAGGATGAGCGCCAAAGATTAACCCTTACGTTCGCCTGCATATCTAAAATTGCAGCGTGCAATTGCGGTACTTGGCCTTTGAGGTTGTAGTTTCTTTTTTGTGCTATATTTATCATAATTCGACAAGATAATAATAAGTAAAAAGTACAAAGGACGTGATGTTACACTGGAAGTCTTGGGCATATGTTGAACATATTAACACCGTAGATAATAACAGATTAGAGAAAAATCCTAGAAATAATATTAAATATATCTTCGATACGAGTCAATGTAATAATTGTTATACTATACCTGACGGACTAGAGACATACTCATAAAATATGGAATTAGAATACAAAATGTATAAAGCGTACAATCATATAATATGTACGTAGAAGCAATTTTGGTAAAATTGATAATGACTTGCATTAAATATAATTTATGTTTGCACGGGATATTATACCCATATTTGCTTTTCATAGATGCATAAAGCTGATGAAATTGCAATATGGAACGAAATGATAAAGAGCTTGGTCGATAGTCAGATAATTCTTTAACATAACAATATTTCATATCAGCATTAAATACAGCATTCTTAATTAATGCGTGCTATATACATTTTTTAATATGAAAAAGCAAATATACATTTTTTATCAATCATTTATTCTGATAATTTGCTTTAATAGCTATAAATATTTTTTAAAAGTACATATATTTATGGAAAATGTATGAGAAATTTTTCATTATTTCTCATGTCCATTATAATTTCATATCCATTAAAATGAAATAGAGAAGCTTCCTTTGATTAGTTTCTTTTTGCAATAGTTTCTAGCTGAATCTGGCAGTTACTATTTCTGATTTTTTTCAATGGTTTTTCGCATCTATGTCAACTATTCTATATATATATAAATTTGATTGAGTAAAAAAAATTCTATTTAGTTGACAAAGTTCCATTCACGAAAGGGAAAACGACATACTTGTTTTTGACGCAATACAAAAAATTGTGTAGCTTATATTGTCAATCATGGAACAAAACCGACTGGATGAAT